ATCCTTCTTTGCACTCTGTTCACGACATTAATTAATACCCTGTCCTTGTTACCTGGCTGTTCTGTGATTTCATTAACTTGGGGCGGGGCGGGGGGGGGGGGAACGGAGAACGAACAACCCTGGTTGATCAAAGGTGTCTGGACCAACTCCCTCCCTCCCCACACACGTACTTAAAATCTGTTTTGTATTATAGTTACTTGTATCTGTCTCACCTCCACTGTCACATTGTGAGCTCCTTCAGAGAAGGTACTAGGTCTCATCTCAGGGGCTCCTTGAGCACTTAACACAGTCCTTACTGAGCAAAGTTGACCATTGTTTGCTGAATGTCAAGATTGCCACAGCAATACAGACATGATTAAGAACCTGGCCTGGGGTAGTTGCAGGGGGAATAGAAAAGAAGAGATTCACAAAGGAAGACATTATGAAGGAAGAACTGATAGGACTTGTTAACCACTTGAGGGAAGGGAGAATGAAGAGTTAAAATTAAGTCTTTTCTTTTTTTTTTTAAAGCTTAGGTGACTAATAGAAAAAGTAAAGCCAGGTTTTGGGGGGAAAAATAGGAGAATGGAAGAATAATAATCTGGACCCAATAAGAATGCCAGTGAAAAGAAGTAACACAAAATAAGGAAAGGAAAGAAAGGCTAGAAATGATAATACCTGGATCTGTTCAAAGTCAAGGATGCTCCAACCAACTAAGACCTTTACATAAAAACCTGAGAAAATGTCAGTGTCAGACTCAGATGAATGCATAGCTAACCTTCTCTCTTACAATAATGAACATTTTATTTGATATGTTAGCTTTACTTTGAGGAGACAGGAGGTTAAACTGTGAAGACCCTGTAATTGTGCTTTCTCCCAACATTTCTTAATCGCTGACAGTATATAGTGTACTGTGCTCAGGGTTATGTGGTCTCTACGTAGATATGACAGGAGCCCTACCCTCATGAAGGTCATAGTCTAACAGGGGGAGAAGAAACAAAACACAGAAAACTATAATCCAAAAATTATATGATAAAATAAATACACACAAAATACTCTGTGAAGTCTAAGGAAAACCAATAACTGGGGATGGAGGGAGAGAAGGAAGAAGAGAAGGAACCTTTTTTGGAGAAAGCATTTCAGTTGTGCTTTAGTGAAATAACAGAAATCCACCAGTGAGAAAAAAGAAGAATATTTAGGACATAAGGAACAATGAAAATAAAGGCACAGAAGCGGGAAAGGAAAAGGCAGGTCTCGGTTAGCTGAGCTAACAGGTCTGCAGAGCCCCTGAATGAAGATAATATGGTTAGAAAGGTAGGGAGAGAGCTACCTAGCTCCCTAGGGGTGTGACAACAGAAGCCACTCAAGATTTCTGAGCAGAGGTCTGACAGGTACTCCTCCTGAGAGTGACTCAGTACTCCTACTTCGATGATAACAGAGCTCCTTGAAGGCAGGGGCTGTTTCATTCTTTGTCTTTGTATCCCCAGTGCCTATCACAATCCCTGGCATACAGGAGGCACTTAATAAGTGCTTGCTGATTGAGTGAATGCCTAAGTGTACAGTGCTCCTGCACAAAAGGATCAGCTATGAATGTCATCAACAAATCTTGACTAACAAACAAACACATATCATGGTATGGGGGGTGGAGGGAGAAGGGGCTGATCGCTGTCCTGCACCTCATTCTCCTCCATTCAATTCATTTCACCTCAACCAGTATTTACCGAGCTCCTACCACAGAGTAACCAAAACTACTGCTGGTCCCAAGACGCAACCAGTTTCTTTGGGAAACAAGACAGACACTTGTGAAACAGGCAGCAAAAGAAAGACTAGATGATTAAATGGTGAAACAATACAAGTTAGTATGGAGAAGTAGAAAGAACCATCCATTCAGCAAACATTCATTAAGTACCTATTAAGTGCTAGGTGCTGGGGATGGACAAACTCCTCCAGGAGCTTACATTCGACTGCAGATCTCTGGACCTGCTGGGCCTGTGGTGTGAAAGCTGAATGGGCGGTATGGAGGGGAGTTTGGAAGAGGGAAGGGAAGCCTGGTATAGGATGAAGAATCCTGGGTCTGGGGGCAGCTAGGTGGCACAGTGGATAGAGCGCTGGCCTTGGAGTCAGGAGGAGCTGAGTTCAAATCCAGCCTCTGACATTTAACACTTACTAGCTGTGTGAACCTGGGCAAGTCACTTAACCCCAATTGCCTAACCAAAAAGCAAAAAAAAAAAAAAGAATCCCAGTCTGGGAGGTGAGAGATCCCTGTCTACATCAACTCACAGAGTAACCTTGGGCAATTTCTATCACTCTTTGAGCCTCATTTTCCTCTACCTTAAAAAGGAGGCAGTTGGACTTAAGGTCTTTTTCGAACTTGGGAATTCTATGACTGGCTGGAGACCAGGAAGGCAGTCAGAGAGCTCTCCTCAGAGCTAAAACCGACTGTGGTACAGAAATATGATAGCATATTACTGTCAGAAACTATGAATATCAAGAATTCAGAGAAGCATAGGTAGGTTTACAAACTGAAGTAAAGGTCAGAGTCTGGGAAGTAATATACACAATGACAAAGATAGAAAGGGAGAGAACAAAAATCCCAGAACCAAACACTGGTTAATTATAAAAATCAGGGTGGGTTCCAAAGAGATGATGTACCTCCTCCTTTACTTCTTTGTAGAGGAGGGGTACTACAAGTGTGAGATACTGCATAGACTGGCAGACTTGGTTGATGTCAATTTTTTAAAACTCTTTTTCTTTTTAGAGTGCATGAACGATGATGCCAAGATGGCAAAGTCTCAAGGAAGAAGTACAGCTAAGCTCCACACACAACTGGGTATAGAAATCCATTTCACTCAACAGGAAAACAGGAGGGAAAAGGAAGAAGGAAGAAGGAGGAATTAGTCCTAAGCAAAACTCTAACTAAAAATATTCAAAAATATCTGTAGCAATTCTTTTTGTGGTTGCAAAAAATTGAAAACTAAGGGGATGCCCAATAATTGGGGAATGTTCCTCACATGACATTCCATCTCATCTCCTTGCCTTTGTCCTGGCTGTTCCCTTCTCACCTCTACCTCTTAGAAGCCCTGGCTTACCCCCAAGACTTCACTCAAAAGCCACGTCCACAGAAGGCCTTCAAGTGTCTCTCTAAAGCTACCTTCTCAGGGGCAGTTAGGTGGCACAGTGGGCTTTCGAGTCAGGAGGACCTGAGTTCAAATCTCACTTCAGACACTTGACACTTACTAGCTATGTGACCCTGGGCAGGTCACTTAACCCCAACTGCCTCACCAAAAAAGAAAAAAGAAAAAAAAAAGCTACCTTCTCCTGACTCTACATGAATCTTGTATGTACGTATTTATATACGTCTCTTTCATTAAAATATAAGTTCCTTGAGGAGTAGAAACTATTTTTGCTTTTTCTTTGTAAGATCTCATCCTGGGCCTCCCCACTCTCAGCTCCCCAAGCACTTAGCACATTGCAGGGCACACAATCAGCCCTTAATACATGCACACTGACTGAATGTCTGCCAGAGTATTTGTTTTAAAAGTAAAGGCTGAGGGGGGAAAAGTCATTACTAATAGTGTGGAGCTCAAATCAAGGAAGTGCTATGTGAGTTTGGCTTTAAAGACCAGGTAGGGGAGGGACAGCTAGGTGGACAGAGCAGCCCTGGAGTCAGGAGGACCTAAATTCAAATCCAGCTTTAGACACTTGACACTTACTAGTTGTGTGATCCAGGGCACTTAACCCCAACTGCCTCAAGAAAAAAAAAAAAAGACCAGGTGGGCATTTAACAGACAAAGGGGAAAGGGAACGAAAGAGAAAGCACCCTAAAAAAGGAACACTCTGAGTAGAAGCACAGCAGGAGAAGTCTAAAGAACACATCCAGGGAAGACTCCAACGTGGCTAGAGCAGAGAGTATAAGGAGGGAAGTAAGATGAGATCCAGGTGAAAAAGTAGCATGGCACCCGGGGGTCTGTAAGGCCGGCAAAGCAGTCTGAACTCATACACTGGGAATAGAGACCTGCAGCATTGAAGAGTCAGAGCTCACACATTCAGAGCTAGAAAAGACCTCAGAGGTGCCTATTCCAACATCCCTGTTGTAGAGGAAGAAAAGAGATCCAGACAGGTAAGTGGCTTGCTCACAGGTAAGGTTAGAGCCAGGACTGAAGCCCAGGGTGTCGACTTCAGGACTCTTCTCCCTGCACCACACTCTCCTCACACGTGATGGGGCCAGATCTAAGCCTAAGGAAGATATATTAGCAATGGGTAATGGATGGATGAGACGGTAGAGCTGGGAAACTCCACCTGAAGGCAATTTTAATAGCCCAGGTGGGTGGCATCTGTCCTGGGAGCAGGGAGGGGAGCATGAGAAGACCCATAAGAGGGCAGATATAAAAGACATGGCATCCATAGAATCAGCAAGACTTAGAGGCCAGCACTTAGGGAATGGCTGAACAAATGATGGCATGAAACCACAGAATACCAATGTACCATAAGAATGGATGAAAAGGATAGTTTCAAAGAAACCTGGAAATGCTGTATGCATGAGTGAACCAAGCAAAGCTGGTTCATACAATGACAACAACAACATTGTAAAGACAAACAATTCTGAAAGGCTTAAGAACTCTCATCAATACAATGAATAATCACAATTCAAGAGGACTGATGAGAAAGCATGTTACCAACTTCTTAACAGAAAAGGGATGGATTCAAGATGAAGAATGAGAAATACAGTTTTTTGAATATAGCCAATACAAGAATTTGTTTTGTTTGACTGTATTTGTTATAAGCGTTTGTTTTTTTCTTCTTTTTTAATAAATTGGAGAACAGGGGAGGTGAGAAGAAGAGAAAATAAATGCTTCATTGAAAGAAACTGTATTTTGATTTATATTTTTTCAAAAGATCAGAAGCCTAAAGGACATACGAATGATAAGAGAGACAGAAAAGATAGCACTGTTTCCAACATGAAAGAATGAATAGTAACACCAATAACAAACATCAAGGGCAAACAACATACATTCACTCACCATTGGGCACTAGGAGAAGACTTTTCACAATATTCTTTAAGGGCCCAAGGCTGATTTGATTGGTGGCAGCAAAATCAGACAGTTTAGACAGGAATGTTTCAACCTGTAGCATAGGAAAAACACAAACTCCTTAACATTTTAAAAATCATTTTTATTAAAATCTTAATAATCAAATACAAATATTTCAATATACAATAAACAAAAAAGGACTGTTTATGAAACCAAGAACTTCTATTATGTACAACTTGTTTTTAAGCGTATAGTCTACCTGTCAGATCTGTCGGAAAGGGAAGAATTCATGACCAAACACGAGATAGAGAGCATTACCAAATGTAAAATAGATAATTTTGATTATATTAAAATAAAAAGCTTTTATATAAACAAAACCAATGCAACCAAGATTAGAAGGAAAGCAGAAAACTAGGAAACAATCTTTATAGCAAATGTCTCTGATAAAAGCCTCATTTCTCAAATATATAAAGAAGTGAGTCAAACTTATAAGAATGCAAGTCATTCCTCAATTGACAAATGGTCAAAAGATATGAACAGGCAGTTTGCAGATGAAGACATCAAAGGTATCTTAGACATATGAAGAAGTGCTCTAAATCACTTCTGATTAGAGAAATTCAAATTAAAATAACTCTAAGGTACCACCTCACACCTATCAGATTGGCTAATATGACAAAAAAGGAAAATAAAGTGTATGTTAAATAAAGTGTATGGTACCAAAATTACTTTTGTCCCTTTCTATACTTTTCCTTTTCTTTTGTGTTTTCAAATGTTTTATTGATGCTACTTTCTTTCCTCTGTTACTACCCAATAACTACCCCCTAAAAAAAGTCCTCCCTTGTAACAAATAAATATGGTTTAACAAAACATTAGCCATGTCTGAAAATGTATGTCTCATTCTAAGCCTCTAATCCAGGGAATCTTCACCTTTTTTTGTCATGGACCCCTTCAGCAGTCTAGTGAAGCCCTTCTCAGAATGTTTTTAATTACATAAAATAAAATACACAATATTACAAAGGAAACCAACTGTATTGAAATAAAGATGTAATTCTACCCACAGATCCCCAGATTAAGAACCCCAGCCCATCACCTCTCTGCCAAGGGACGAGAAGTCCTCAGTTACTTTTCAGGCTCTCCAGGACAACAGCTTCCCAATCAAACACTTCTGGTCATCAAATAAAGGACCTTACCTCCTTGGGTTGAACCAAAAAGTAGAAAATCACTTCGGTCAGCATGGCAAACTGCTGCAAAAATGAAAACAAGAATTTTAGTACATTCAGATTCCTGATCCAACTCCACTCTGGGCTGCAGAATCTCAAAAGAAAAGAACAAGGGAAGACCTCAGAACATTTAAAGCCCCAAACATCAACAACCTCTTCCTCCCCCTCCTCCTTCTGGCTCATTTCCCAAACCAGCCTTTGCCTCCAACACCCTGAAATCTCTTCCCAACAACAAATTACCACTTGCGTCCAGTTCACTGAAGGAACGTTAATTTTAAAAATAGCTCATCAGCGCCAGGAAGTATTTACACAGCAGGTGGTGCTACAAAAAGCTGTGAACTGAGATGAAGATTCAATCTCCATTCTGCTATAGGCTGCAGCACCAGGGCATCTATTGTTATACTGCAAGGCCCTGCTTCAATGCTACCTCCTTCAAGAAGGCTTCCAAGTGCCTTCCAGCATAGGGGACTGCAATGAGTGCTGGATTTAAATCAAATGAGAGGATCTAAGTTTCTTCCAGCACAGGGTATTACAGAGAATGCTGGATTTAAATCAAATAAGAGGATCTAAATTCAAATCCTGGGGCAAGTGAGCCACTAGGATTATGGGATCACAGATTTAAAGATAGAACTTCAGAAACCATCTTAGTCTTTAATGTCTCTGGGCTTCCTTCCCGCTGTAAATCTGTATTTCCCTTTGATCCACCCCAGCTGAAAGCAATCTTTTTCCAATTGATTTCATAGTGCTTCTCCATCTGTGTGCATGAGACTGTCAGCAGAGACCTAGGTTTGAGCACCTCCTGGAATGAGCTGTGTGCCCACTAAATGGCAAGCCACAGAAACACCTCTATGTCTCAATTTCTTCAACTACAAAATAGGACTAATACTATTTGTAATCATTACCTCACAAGAATGTGAGGATTAAATGAGATGACCAATGAATATGAAGCACTGTTATTTCCCATATTAGACTGCAGGCTTCTTGGGCACAGATCCTGAATTTCCTTTAGCCTACAACACAGCTGATAGAACAGACCCTTAATACATGACTATTAAATGGATAAGAGAACTTCAAAGCTAGAAGACTTTAGGGGTCCTCTCCAATCCTAACCACAAGATAGCTAAGTGATTTTTGCTTGAAGCTTTTTGGTGATTGTCATCTCTAATACTGTTCCATTTTTGGACAGCTCTATAACTTAGTAATAAGCGCTGAACCGAAATTATCCTTGCAAACATGCACCTAGTAGGTCAGTCAGGCAGTCAACTAGCATGTATTAATTGCCTACTAGGTGCCAGGCACTGTGCTAAGCTCTGGGGATATAAAGAAAACCAAAAAACAGTCCCTGCTCCCACGGAGGGGAGACAATAGGCAAACAACTATATACAAACAAGATAGATACAGGGTTACAGATACAGGATAAACTGGGGGTAGTCCCAGAGAGGACACTAAGATAGATTAAGGACTAGGAAAAGCTTCTTGCAGAAAGTGAAACTTTATACTGAGACTAGTCCAGAAGACAGGGTAGTTAGGGGGCAGAGAAGACAAGGGAAAGTGTTCCAGGCATGAGGGTCAGCCAGTGAAAATGATCACAGATGAGAGATGGAGTATCCTGTTCCAGGATGAGAAAGGACAGCAGAGCCAGTGGGTCAAAGGGAATGTGGAGGGGAGTAAAGTATATGAATAGAAAAGCGTAAGAATATGGGAAAAGGAGGAGCTGGGAAGGGGCCAGGGTGTGAAGGGCTTTGAAAACCTAACAGGTAGGTCCTAGCTCTCTCCACCAGAGTAAGTAGAATCAGTTCCTTTTCCAAACAAAAGTCCAATATCTGAAGGCATGATCGTGCTGCCCCATCCCTTAGTCTGTTCCCTTCACGATGAATCTAACACATACAACCTTTCCTGAAATTAAGTGAGAAGGGTTTGAATTCTGGAGACTCATGGGCTTTCTTCTGGACTCAGCTCAAACACCACCTCCTGTAGAAGACCTTTATGGATCCAGCCCAGCCCCTGTCACCCCCTCCCCCCCAACTCTGCCATCATCCTAGGGAGTAAGCCTTCAAGATGTGCAACCTGGCAACCACCTGTGCACCTGCAGCAGCCCCCAGTCCCTTAGCAGCCAGAGCAAAACAAAACCAAGGATGAAAAAATATCCCACCAAAGTCCTTGGCCTGCCAAATAATGCAAGATCAGAGAAGACACCAAAGGGGGCAAGGGAGAACAAGAATCTCAGGGGTTACCTTAGATGGCTTCTTAGCAACAGGGGAATGATTCAAATTGTGGTATGAAAACACAATGGAATATGAAAAATGACAAAAGAGAATTTCAGAGAATCCAAGATATTATGAACTGATGCAAAGTAAAGAGAATAATTTATGCAAGGAAAACAACACTGTAAAGAAAAATAAACTTGAAAGACTTAAGACCTCACCTCCTGTCAGAGAGGTGATGCACACAGGATGCAGAAAAAGACAATACTTTTCTGAACATGGTCACAGAATAGTTTTGGTTTGCTGGACTTCGTTTTATTTGTTACAAAGGTTTTTCCCTCCCTTAGTTTCTCTGTTAATGAAAAGGGGAGTGTTGGGGTAGGAGAGGAGACAGTGGTTAGCAACTGTCATGTCAAAAGAAAAAAGGGGGTCTATTGAAGCATTTTTAAAAATGCAAAAAGAGCAGGTGAAGCTCAGAAAGAAGCACAGCCACACTGGGCAGTTTTGAAAGTAACTTGCACAATTTATTACATACTTAAAAAAAAAACAACTATCAGTATGAAATGGAGATTCATGGTTTCATATAGAACTCTCTTATGTTCTGCTCTGTGTATGAAAACACTTTTTTATATTTGTTCAGAATTCTTTTTAAAATGTTGAATTGCAACAAAGAAAATGCACTGCCACCTGCTTGGCTTCAGCACCTGAGGACCAAGGGACCCTTTTCTTCTGACTTAAGGCTAAAACCTCCTTCCTAAATTTGAGTTATGTATCACATTAGAACAGGGTTGGTCTGGAAGAGCAAGGACCTTTTCTGTTTTCCTGGAGCTAAACACAGTGTTTTGAATTTAATAAGAACTCAATAAATGGTCTTCCTTCCCACCTTCCTACAGTTCAGTCATTAGAATGTAAGCTCCTTGAGGGCAGGAACTGCTTTTTGCTTTTTTTTTTCTTTCAGTAACCCCAGCAAGGCCACTGGTACACAATAGCACCTAAAATAAATGTTTATTGCTTGATTTACTAGCAGTGGGACACACTCCACAGTAGTTGCACCTGTAAAATGAGGTTTATAAACACTAGCTTTATTTATCTCAATGGGTGGCAGAGAGACTCAAATACAGTAATATATTAAGCTAATAAGACAATTATCATTTGTATTATCTCCCTAATAGACTGCAAACTTCTTCGGGCAGGGCAGTCTTCTCCATATTCATCTCCTTTAAAGGGTAAGTACAGAGCCATCACAGGTTAAGTACTCAATAAATATTTGTAGAAAGACTAAATGTTGAACTCTAATTTACAGTCTTGATTCGTTTGTTTCCTCAGGGCTAGGCTTCCAGCTCCAAAATAAACTCTACTGTAGAGCCAACCCCAGGGCAGCAATACCAAGGAAACTTTCTACATTAAGAGTTAATGTTTTAAATCAAATTGCTTACTGTCTCAGGAAGGGGGGAGGTGAGGGGAGAGAGAGAAAATTTGGAACTCAAAAAACTTTTTTTAAACGAATGTTAAAAATTGTCTTTACATGTAACTGGGGAAAAAAACAAAGTATTACTTAAAAAAAAATTAAGTTTTGTGGACATGTGAATTGGTCCAACCACTCTGGAAAACTATTTGGAATTATGGGAGAAGAATCATTAAACTATTCACACCCTTTGACCCAGAGATCCACTAACTAAGCACATATCCCAAAGGGGTCAAAGACGGAAAAGGTCTATTATTTTGTGCCAAAATATTCATACCATGACTCTGTGGTTGTCAAACAGGTACCCATCAGTCTATCAATAAGCATTTATTAAGCACATACTATATACTAGGCATAGTTCGAGAAAGTGAGGATACAAAAACAAAAGTGAAAAAGTCTGCCCTCAGGGAGCTTGCATTCTATCAAGAGAGAAATGCATATAAACAAGTAGATAGATAGCAATTTATACATATATATACACACACACTACCTTCTACAAGGTATTGGTGGGGAGGGGGATGTCAGGAAAGACCTCATGTAGAATGTGGCATGTGAACTAAGCTTTGAAGGAAACTAGGTGCACAAGAGATGGGGAGATTGTTTATTACAAGCATGAAGAAATCAGTGCAAAGGCACAAAGATGGGAGATGGGGTGTCCTGTGTCAGGAAAAAGAAAGCAGCCAGTTTGGTCAGATCCTAAAGTGTGCTGGGGAAATAATGTATAATAAGGCTAGAAAGATAGTTTGTAACAAGGTGATGAAGAACTTTAAATGCCAGATACCCTACAGGTATCAAAAAGCTACAAGCTTTGACTATGAGTAACACAATCACACCTGCTCTTTAGGAAAAAATAGCTTTGGCAACTTGGTAGAGGACAGACTGGAAAAGAGAGATTTAAGGAAAGGAGAGTAATTATGCTACTGCAATAGCTCTGGCAAGAGGTGATGGGGGTTTGAAGTAAGGTGAGAGAGATGTAAATAGAAAGAAAGAATGGATGAGAAATGTGATGAAGACAGACTTGTCAATCAATTGGATATGTGGAGTGAAAGAGAGTGAAGACTGGAAAATGACTGCAAGATTACAAACCTGGACGATACTACATTCAAGAGAAACAGACATCTGGAAGTGGGGTGGGTTTGGAGGAAATCATTACAAGTTTCCTCTAAAAGAGATGAGACTCAAATTGCAGAATTTTGGGGTACAGCCAACATGGAAACCTGTTTTACTCGACTACTCATATTTATATAAGGGTTTTGCTGTTCTTTTTTTCCCCAATTGGGGAGGGTTTGGGAGGGAGAAAATAAATGCTTGTTGATTGGGAAAAAAAATTAATTTTAAAAGTAAATATGAGTTGTTTTAGACATGTTGCATTTCAGATGCCAACAGGACATGTAGATTGAAATGTACAACAGGCAATAGGCATTTTTGCTAAGAACTCAGGAGAGAGACTAGGGATGGATATAGAGAAATGTTGGTCACATTAGGGAAAATTGATTAACTATTACTTCTCTAGGGAACAATGAAGAATTCTGAGAAACATAGTAAGACTTGTATGACTGGACACAGAAGCAGTTAACAATGACTACAGAAATATAAATGAAAAAAACACTAACAAAGTCAATTGTGCTATAATTGTAATAATTAATCTTAGTCCCAGAGAATAAGGAACTGTGCTTTATCCTCTTTCCTAGGAGAGGAGAAAGAGGTGGGGTGTTATGAGTACAGAAGCTCACCTCTTCAAGAGATCTTTTCTAATCCCCCTCCCCCCCAAAATTTTTTTTTCATTTTGTATATATCTTATATTTACTTGTTTGTGAAGAGGTCATGTCATATTTCCCTAGGAATGTAAGCTCCTTGAGGGCAGAGATTCTGTTTTTGTATTTGTATACCTAACACGCAGCAATACCTGGGCCCTTACTTGCTGATTGACTGATATTGCATATACTATCTGATGTGGTCAATGTGTAAGTAGGTTTTGCTTAACTGTTTTTGTTACAAAAGAAGGTTCACTAGGTGAGTTGGGATGGTAGTATGTCAAAAAATGAATGCTGTTAAAAAAAAAGGAATCAATAAAGTGTTCGTTTTAAAAAGGGGTTTGGATCTTAGTTTTGATTTTCAGAAAGAAATACAATTTATGCTCATATTTAGTGCTTGGCTGTATTTTGTAGTTTACACAGAATTCACCTTGTTTTTATGATCTTATCTTAATTTTTACAGAAAAGCTGGGAAGCACAATATCCCACTAACAGAATACTAAGGTATTTGCTGATGGACTACAATATAACTTTTATTCCATACCCTATTGTGTGCAAAGAGCAGAGAAAGGTTATACAGTAATAACAGCTGTCTCATTTGATACAAACAACCCCTTAAGTACAGAACTAAAGGTATTATTACATCCACTTTACAGAGAGGGAAACTGAGGTTCAGATCATCTAAACCACTTGCCCATGGCAACAAAACTAGCACTGGGAATAAGAATTTGAAGACAGATTGCCCCTTACCATAAAGCCTAGAACTCCTTCCTTTCAGTCAATCAAGGCTGCCTCTGCTCTCATGAAACTCACAAAACAAGTTGGAATCCTGGAATTTTGAAGGATGCTAGGGTTTCAGAGATCCTCTAAGTTGGGGTTCTTAACTTGCTGTCTGCAATCTTTTTTTTTTCTTTAAACTTTTGATAACTGTTATTTTTAAAAATTAATTTTTAACATTGATTTTTTTTTAAATTTCAAGTTCCAAACTCTCTTGATAACTGCATTTTAATATAATTGGTTTCCTTTGTAACTCCATGTATTTTATGCATTTAAAAACATTCTTCTGAGGAGTCTGTAGGTTTCATCGGACTGCCAAAGGGGTCTAGGACACAAGATTTGCAAAACGCTTTACAAATATTATCACATTTGATCCTCACAACAACCTGTGTGCTAATATCATCCCCATTTTACAAAAGAAGAAACTGAGGGAGGCAGAGGTTAAG